AGCCAGCCTTGTGACCTTGGAGTTTCCCCTTGTTGGTCGACTTTTAGTCATGGCATCAAAAGGTCAGCTAACGTTTCATTTTTGGGTCTGAGCTGTGCAACTGAGAATCCGATGTCATGATATGTGTTTGTTTTTTGAGGGTACCCTTTGGGAGTGGTGTTAAGGGGATAGGGAATCCAAAAAAATCGGTTTCCAATTTTCTCACTTTCGGGGTTGACGTGCGTTTAGATCCGTTTAGAACGAGTGAAGAGACTTTGGCCGACTGCCCACGCGATGTCTCTGCGGTCTACACACTCGATGTCCGGTTACTCGTCCGGAGCTGAGGCGAACCGCTCCTATGCTGGACCCTGCCCAGGGTCCGAGATGGATTTCGCAATCTCCGAATACCCTGATCATTGTTTTTCAGTCCAGACCGAATCGACCGGATCTGACCTTTCGGTATTCCCTGGTTTAGTTTATTTTTAGTAAAGGTCTCAAAAGGTTATCACTTTTATTTTTAGGTCCTTTGGGCAAGCAAGTAGTCCGTTCGGTGTTTATGGCTCTTCCGGTGGGAGAGTATCTGGTTTTTTATGGGTTTCCGGTCCCATGTAGAGGACCTTCTGATCAACCTCCATTTGCTTTATGGAAAGCTGGGTTGAAACCAGGATATTATGGGCAAGAAAGGGTAACACATGTGCGCGGCAGTTAGTTCGGGCAGACACTAGAAATAGTAGAATGCAATTTCGCTTCAGGTTTTAGTATGAAATAAGTGTTTAGGCTACAGACACCTCGTGGCGTGCCGACCTGGGTAGTTTGAGGGTCCAGGTGGTTGAAAAAGAGTTGGGGTTGTCCCATTGCGGGGGTTTCACTTTAGGGTGAACCAATTATTGCACATGACTGACCTCTCGCAAGTCACACTCCCGGCAAATTTTGATTTTGGGCGGAGGTTCACAGGAGTGGAATTTCTTGTAGCTAGATTGGTTTTACCAATACAGTTGTGATGTTTGATATTGGCCTTACTGCAATCCCTGTGCAAACGGGCAGTAGGACCACCTAAAATAGCCAACGGGAACAACTTACCAGCACCCGCCCCCCCCCCAACCACTGCTGTTTGGACATCACCTGTCTCTACTCCTTGCTTGGTGGTGATGGAAAACCACCACTTGAAACCCATGATTTGGGGTCCTAAAACGCAGCCTCCCGTGCTACGGATGTATTCACTTCCAATCCACTGGACAAGTCACCGATACATCCTCTCATTTTTGGTGGGTGATTGGCAACACAATGTCCTGTAGAAAATCCTGCTGGCTTCTATGTTGTCAACAGTCACTGGGTTTTGGGTGCTTCGAAGTCTCAAACTTGTGAGGAACATCGTGAGTTTGGGCGACGTGCCGACACAGGCGGGTCCTCGGTTTGGTGTGGCATCAGATAGTTTTTTCATAAGCCTCAAAGGTGGTGATCAACCTCTTGTTTAGGGGGCAAGGGCAACCCACAAACTTGCGAGTACCCCTGCAGCCTTCAAAAACTATTTTTGGTTACAGGGTATGACATCATGGCATCCCTTTATGGAAACCTAGATCGTTCAAAAAAATCGTGTGCGACCCAAAAAAAGGTATTCGGAGTTGGGAATAAGGGAATAAGGATGCCGGCACGGACTTCTTAAACAAGAGACAAAGTAAGAGCAAATGATGTGTTTGGGTGGGAGCATATAAGATGCTTGGCGTGGGCCTCTTTTAGGATCAATAGTGCCCCGACGTCTAGGCCGCAGAGTACTTCAGTTTAGGCTCATTCCCCTCAAAAGCTCTACGAAGGCTTATCCCGATGAAATCAATAGCCTCATCGCGCAGCCAAACTTGCATGAGCCATCTTGCACGAGGAGGTATCGCATGAAAGCAACATTCACTTTCCATTATGTTTTCGGGTCACCCGTGGTGTCACTTCGTTCTATGCTGGTCCAAACTGCAAGTAAAGACAAAGACGGAAACCCGCGCTTCTTGGCATTCGTCGTTTGTACTTCGTTAGGCGTCTCGGTGCTGAAGATAGCCCATGCTGCCCGTGAGCTGCTGAAAGTGAGAGCCCGTCCCGGATGGCCATGCCTGATTTCGGCAAGGGATCTCAATGCTATCGAATATGCTTGGTAATCAGATCAGATGGGTTTCATTGCCTCTGGGTTTTCTAGGTTGACATGCATATGTTCGCAAGTGAACGGGCTCCTTCCAAGCTTTTTAAAGCGGTAGATTCTCGGGCCTGAAATGAAGAAGCTCCAACCTCTGACTGGCTTGAACAGCTCCAGCTTCGCGTGCGTCAAGGAATCTGTGTTTGTCCCGCCTGAACGGAGGTCCTTGTGTTTCTGAAGATAAGATGACGATGCCGGTGTCTTTTCCGCTGCCAAAAACAAGGAAACTGCCTGCAATGCACCTTTTGGTTCAAAAAGTAGATGTCTTCGGTTTGACTGTTTTGTTTTGCGGCTTAAAAAAAACACGTAAATGACCCCTCAAAGGGGTCCCAAAAGAGGGTTCTGGTTGAGCAAACGTGGAGCAATTCGACGGACGAGGGGGAGGGGGGAGGGCTCACGTCCATTGCAGGTTGTCTCTAGAACACGGCAGTTCTTGTGTTCTATTTGCTTGAGAATATGGCTGCTGATCGATGTTGCTTTTGGCGGGATCCTATCAGCCTTTTCCGTTTTTTTTGCCGGGAATTTGGTTTTTGGAGGTCATGAATTGCTTTCGTCAACACTTTGGGAGTGAATATTTGGCGTGTCTATGATAATGGGCGCCGGGGCAGCCCACCCACTCTTGCCACGAACGGCCGGGGCAGCCCACCCACTCGTGCCACGAATGGCGCTGGCTCCGGATCCATTTCGCTATTGCCGGCTCTTTCGTTGCGCCGACCGGGCACGGCTCAGTGTGCGGGCATGTTGTCTTGAGTACTCCTGCTTGAAAGCGAGTCTAGAAGGACAGCACTAATCTTGGAGGTCCTGAAAGCTGACATCGTAGCACGTCTCGTTTGTGCCCTGGGGGAGAAACGCGGGTATGTTTCTTTATGTAGTAATTAACGATTTTCTTGCCGCGGGGCAAAACAGGGGGTAGCCTCAAAGCAAGACAGGTTGTTTTCGAATTCTGGATTCGGCCCATCCACATTGGGGCCATCTACTTGGAGAATACCTTCCAGAAGGGCATCTCACACTTTTCTTAGGGTTGCTCCGAACTGCACCGCACCACAAGAGCAGACAACTGGTACGTTTTATCTTTTTGCAGGTGCCCCCTTTGCAGAATATTTGAGAAGGAGATCGCCAAGTAAAAGCCCGACAAAGAGATATTTCCCACTAGCGGAGCGCTCCTGAGTTCGAAGTGATGGGAGCGTCCGCGAAACGCTGCGAGCCGTCTCCAACACCACGGAAATTCCCGTGCGGGACTCAAGGTCCAGTTGAAGCTCGAGTTTCGGGTTGTGTCAGCTGTGTTACGTCTTATTGCATCCGCCTTCAGCCTTTTGTTTGCTTTGAAGTGCGCGGTGGTCACCAAGAGGGAAAGTTGTATTCTCCTTAAACTGGGACTCCCCTATGTAAGAAAGGAGTCACGACTTGCACGCAGCGGGCGGCCCCAAGCCGTGTCCAATTTCCGGAGGTATGAGCATAGGAGCATGGGCGGGCTCGCGTTTGTTGACGGCTTGTCTCTAGAACATGGTAGTTCTAGAATATCTAGAACTTCCTGCGTTACGGCGGAACTTCCCGCCGCATTCTAGAAAATCAGCCGCAAACAAAGAAAAATGCCGCAACCAAAACAAAAAAACGCCGCAACACTGTTTGCTTTCCGGGAATTTCCGCCGCATTCCCGCCGATTTCCGCCGCATTCCCGCCGATTTCCGCCGCAAATCGGGGGGTACAAGAAACTGAAAACAAGCTCTGCCGCAATTCTAAAAAAACGCCGCAAATCAGGAAGAAATGCCGCAAATCCAAAAAGGCGCCTTTTTTTGAATCTCAAGGTATGGCTGCAGTTGCAGGGGGGTCTAGCACCATTGGACGTTTTTTGCCGGGACCTCAGCAAATGGAGGTCATAGTTTCCCTTTGTCAAGATTTTAGGAGTGACTCTTTGGCGCGTCTATGACAATGGACGGCGGGGCAGCCGATCCACTCGTGCCTCGCTGGCCCGATCCATCCTCCGGCTGGTAGAGCCGGGGATTTGCTGGGTCCTATCAAGACCCAGGAGGGCCAGTGAGTATGCAACAGAAACACTATGAACAACATATCCGCCCCCTAAAATCCAGCTGCGCTATGTGTTCGAGCTCGAAGAGCGAGGGCAATCCTACCCGTAGGGTATTCCGCGGAGAGGCCCGCTCGATTGTTGGTTTGAGGATGCCATTGGCTCCTGGGGGGTGTTTCTTTTGGGAGGAGGCCTTCGGCTCCTGCGACAGGCTGTATTTTTCTAGGACGCCTTCCGCTGCTCCCGCGTGTGCTGTTGTTTGAGGAGGCCATGGGCTGCTCACGGGGCATGTCTTCTTTTGGGAGCGGCCTGCGGCTCCTGAAACATTCCTGGCGCGCGTTTGGTTGTATGAGGATGCCATTGGCTCCTGGATTCCTTTTTTGTAAGGCTGCTACTTGCTGCTGGCAAGCAAGCGGGCCGAGGATGCCCTAGGCAACTGGAAAGCAATCAGAGAAAACAGCTATGGATGTGACGGGAGCATCGGCCACCCCCCCTCCCCCCCAACCCATACGGGAAGGCGCTTGCTGTGACTGAGAGTCGTCAAGAGCCGCTCATGCGGCATCGTCGGGTTTGTTGGGCGCAGCGGCGTCGGTTGTCTAGTTGGTCTGCCTTGGCAGTGGCGACCCATGCGTGCTTGTGCGTGCGTATGTTTGCTCCAGCGCAGTACGTAGAGTCCACTTCCATGTCGGCTGTCTTGGAGATTGGAAGTCTCTCGGCATATGTTTTTTTTTGCGGTGGTGAAGCTTCGGATTACCTTGCCCAGGGTTCGAAAGCAGTTTGAAGCCAGCAAGCAGAGGCTTGACCGCCGAGCTCGAAGCGGCTATGGAGCGGGAGTTTGTAGAGGACATGGCGGCCTGGTCTCGGCTGCATGAGCAGATGCGAGCCTCAGCCGAGTTCGATCATGCACGGATCGAGGATTTCGAGGAAGCACCGCTAAGTCAGTGGTTGAGACCTCCTGCAGAGTCGAGCGGCCCCCGGGAAGAGGGCAGCAATGAAGGTGGGGAAGCCAGTGCTGCTGTGCTGGAGCTATGGCGACCGGCCTGGCTTTGCTGGGATGCATCCGCTGAGGCAGCTGTGAAGATCATGCCAGACAGGCAGCCTTGCCTGACTTCCATGTCGCAGGAGATGCAAAGCTTCAGGGAGCGGGTAGATGCAGCTTTCGGGTGGCATGGCAAAGTGCTAAATGCCCAGCGGAGAGAATTCCGAGCAGCGGCGCAAGTCTCGTTGTTGCGCCGCGGCGCAAGAAGCATAAGCGTGCGGGGGGGGGGGGGCAACACAGATCTCGAATTGAATAAGTTTCAGTGTGGCCCAGAAACGCCATTGATCAGGTTGGGCGAGACAGGATAGTTTTGGCACGGTCTTGACCCCCCGCGCGGTCCCATACGGTTTGTTCTTGAAGTCGACATCTTGCTTCACCAGGGACAATATGTTTTTTAGGGATTCCAAAGGTTCACGGGCGACCTCGCTGGCGCGAGCAGGAGTCTTGTTTGGGCAGCTTAGGCTCTTGAAGGCTTCGCCAGACGACGGGAAAAGTGAGTTGCTGCAAACGCGGCTGTTTTGCTTGCTGGCGGGCGAGCTCTATCGATGTCACGCTGGTTGTCTCTTCGAGTATGTCAGCGGTGCATGGCGCCCATGCGCTACTGGCCTGGCTCCAGATCGCCTGGAGTTCGTCTTGGACGGACTGCGGCGTGCGCAGGCGCACCTCAGCGTGCTCTCGAAGGCGAAGCCGAAGAGAAACTTCGAGGACATGGTATGGGAGTTGCGCGTCGTCGAGCGTGTGGCTTTCGACGATGTCCTTATGAGGTGGCAGCTGGAGGACATTGTGCCGAAAAAGGCAGATGTGCGAGCCAGTGACTGGCTGCAGGGACTGGCTGAACTATGCCGCAGCCTTCGACACACCTTTGCAGAGCACCACAGGAGAAGTTTTCACGGCGCGGGCGTATCCTAATGAGGCAGTCTGCGTGTTTGCAATGGTTCCGGGGGGGTTAACGGGCCGCACTTGTGCGATCAGTTTCGCAGGACTATTGTGAAAGCCTTCCTGCGCTGGGGTGATGAGCCGGTGGATGAGAAACAACAAGCTGGGCTCTGCTTTCAAGACTGCTACCTCAGCACTGTGGACGGAAGTGTGCGTCAAATGAAGAAGGCCGGCCGATGGCTAGGGTATTTCGTGTAGAGAGCAGCAAAAATCACACACACACAAACACACAGACTCAATGCGAGAAGGAAATTTCGAGCATGCGACGCTGCGAGGATCGATCACTGTGTCATGTTTCTTCCTTGCATGAGTGCGCACGAAGGGCGCGTCCCTGAAGGATGCTCGTCGTGGGTGCTACATGTGGATACCGGCGGAGCTGTCCAGCGCCCCTGGAGTAGAGACACGCTGCCGCTATGCTGCAATGCTGATGGCTGCTTTTGCCGGCGGCAATGGCTTGCAGGTGCTGCTAGACCAGTGCGCTCTAGTGGTTGCGCGGACAAGGCAGCCCGATGTCATGCACGTCGTGGTGGGGGAAGGCCACGATGGGAAGACCTTGGTGTTTGTGGACCACATGCGCGCAGTGTTCGGCTCGGGCTTCGGCAACTGCCCTTGTTCCATGCTGCAAGTCGAGAGAGAGTTTCAGGTCCAGGGATCCAACTTCGTTCACGCTGTATGGATGGCTTGCGACGAGGCCAGGAGGCAGCAAGGTGTCTGCGAGGACTTGATGAAAAATTACATTGGCGGCGGCTGGCTCCCTTTGAGGAAGAACCACGCGCAGGAGACCACTTATGGGTGCTGGCGCTACGCTGGAAAGGTGTGGTGTATGAACACCGCTGACATCCCTGAGATCCCCACGTCAGAAGAAAGGTCTAACGCACGGAGGTTTCGCTGCACATACATGAGGAGCCGATTCGTTCCCCAGTCAGAGGCTGTCAGTGTTCAGGACAAGGTGTTTGCGGCGGACGCGAGGGCAAAGGACTTCATGTCCAGCGGGGCCGCGGTGTGGTGCTTTTACCACGACTTCTTGTTCCCTCACATGAAGAAGTTCGGAGTCCAGGCTTGCAGTGGCCGATTGGAGAGCCCAGGGGCAGTTTCGACCACGACCCTGGACACAAAATGGCTTCTTGCTCGGATGAACCGCTCGAGCAAGGCAGCGCAGCCAGAAGAGGATGCTGCTGCCCGTCCATCCGCACCTGCGCGATCGGAAGAGGAAGCAGCGACCACGTCTGTGGCGGAGAAGATTGTGAGGGAGACGCACAAGATGTTCGCTGGCCAGTACTTCGGGACGGCGGCGGCCTTAGAAAGCACGTGGCGCGTGTTGCTGTGTGTGTGTGTGGCGCCAGTGGTCTGCTCGTCGTTGCATGGTGAGGTAATTGTGTGGCATATGTGTGTGTATGTGGGATCCCTGCGTGCTGCAGGCGGAGGTGAACCGAGCTGCCGTGGCTGCGAATCCAGGCGTGGTGCCTGCGAAAAAAGCACGGCCAGACGGCAGCAAGAAGCTGCGTGTGGATTGGCTGCGGGACTCGGTGGCTTCATTCCCAAACATCATTCGGGTGGTGACTGGCAAGCCAAGATCCGGGATCGCAAGTGAGCGTTTCGAGCGCAGATTGCTGGATGTCGCCGAGTGGGAGCGGTGTCTAGCGACCTGTGCTGGAGAAGGTTCATTCGTCCAAATTTTCGGTAGTTGGCCCCAATGGCGGTGGCATGACCAGAAAGAATGGGTTGATCCTGTGCGGCAACTGCGTCGGCTCCCAGACGGAGATGCTTGGGAAGTGACTTGCGCTGTGGACCTGCAAAGGCTTCGTGACTACATGAGCCAAGGACGTGACCGACGACAAGTGCAAGTTCAAGACTTTGTGGCTATGTGCGAAGCGCAGGGCAGACAGAGTGGCAGCCTGCACCTGCTGCTGACAGTGGGGCACCAAAAGGTGGCCGCAGGCCGATCGCTGGGTCGTGTGTTCTTTCCGTGGCTGAGCGTCCCCAACTTGAGCCGGGAAGCTAGGCGTCACGCTGCCCCAGCCAATTCCGTGGAGTTCGACATCCCCAATGCTGTGGTGCACTTCGCCGTGCAGCTTGCAGAGTCGGACGGGCTGGAGATGCCGTGCTTCAAGTTATACTGTTCGTACAAAGAGTGCTGGCGGCGAGCTGTGGCAACCTGGTACAAGTTGCAGGAGCAGGACTCGAAGAAGGAGCTGCTGAGGGCATGCTTTGGATGCACTTATGCTCGCAGGGTGGATGGAGAGCTTCTTGCTTGTCCTTTGTTGGAGGGCTTGGCAGTGGAGTCTCATCGACTCCAGGCTCGACTTTGCGAACAGCACCCAGACTTGCTGAAGTGCATGCAGGAGTCGGGCAAGCCACGACCGGAGGCGTCGGTGCTGGCATACATCTTGTTTGAGATGGAGAATCAAAAGCTGAGGCAGTTTGTTGAGTTACTTCCTCGTCACAAGTTTGCCATGGTGGCGCCTGTATTTGATGCCGTCGTGGCCGCCCCAGACCCAGACGGAGATGCGGAGACCTTGGTGGAGGACTTCGAGATTCTGACGGGGATTCGCATGCAGGTTGCCAAGGTTTGCACCGAGACAGCCAGTACCAGTTCACTGCAGCATTGGCTGAGTGGCTGTGAGGTTCCAAAAGAGGTACTCGTCATTCCTGGCCGCTTTGCCTGCGTTCCCTCTGCCTTGGCCAACTTATTTCCTGAGACGGAAGAAGCGCTGGCTCGAGAGTTTGCCGGACAGGACCACCCTATTTCGTACAAGGAGGTTGCAAGCCGCGTGTCAGGCTTGTGTTTGCGCTGCCTGTCTGCTGAAGAGGCGCCCAGCCTTCCTGGCGGCGCACGCTGCCTGGTGCACGAATTTTGCCCCGATGGAGACGAGATAGGTCACGCATATGGGGCCTTGGTAGGCCCAGAGACCGTGGTCATTGTCACTTCCAGTCCTTCTACCGCGTGGGAAGTGGACAAGCAGCACTTCTGGCAGATGGTCAGTGGTGAGTGCCGCCTGCGAGTATTTCTGGCAGAGTTGTCACTTGATGCGAGACCCGACAAGCGGAGGAAGACGGATACTGGCGGCGCGGACATGGACGTGCTGGCCGGTGCTCGGCGAGGAGGAGAGGACGAGTCCTTGGCCGAGGACATCATTGGAGAAGTACGCGGCCTGATGCGCGCGGAGGTGGAAGCAGAGGTGATGCGTCAGAGCCTCAGGCGCCAGACTGCGTGCAGGAGTGATGCGCACAAACATGTCGGTTTCTGTTTGATCATCGGCGCACCCGGACCAAAAGAGGGGGGGGCTGTAGGTGTCATCGACCAAGCAGGGTCGGCGAACCCAGAGCCGGGACATCGCTGCACGTTGTGTCCATTTCGGTCGTTCACTCGGAGGGCCCATCTGGTGACACATTTGAAGAAGCATCACTTGCCCAAGGCGGATTTCACGACCACCAAGCAGCAGTACTACTTGGCATGTAGCGTCTATGAGCAGCGCAAGGCAAGGTGTGGGGGGAGGCAGGTAGACAGCTCACGGGGCGGAAGAGGGATGGAATGCTTGCGGCGGGGAGCCGGTGGCGAGGAGGGCCTGCTTGCTTGCTCGGCAAGGCTGATTCATTCCTGGGCATCGATCGACGCCGAGTCTGAGAAGCTCTTGGCCAAGTACAACTTTGTAGACATGGCGCTGGTGCTAACAAGGCAAGGGCCGCAGCTGGTGATCAAGAAGCAGACCGACGCTGCCATGCGGGTGAACAAGTCCTTATACATGCACGGAGACTTCGCCGACATGGTCCTGGCCAAGGCCTTGAAACATCGCGGCAAGATCCAGACCATCTTCAACGACATCACCAGCGAGTGGGTGTCCTGCGGCAGTCTGTGTGCCTGGATGGGCTGCCGTCGCAGGGAAACTCGACAGCAGGTGCTGGACATGGTCTTGGCACAGCCCAAGGTTGTAGGCCTTCAGGCGCAGCTGATGGGAGAGGCAACCCGTCGCTCGGAGTGGCTGGTGTGCAGCCACGATGCAACCTTCCAGGTCTTGTTCAGTGCCATCGGCCAGAAGGCTGGCTTGTGATGTTGTGTCGAAGTTTGCGCTGGTTGGATTCCAAGACACGAGCTCGGTGGCTGGCGTCACTGTAGCACTTGGCTTGCTCCAATTGTATCGGAGTATTTCCTCAACAGCTGAAAGCTAAGGCGTCTCGGCCCAGGTAAGGTTTGGGGGTGTTTCGGGCGAGCGCTGGAGTTAGGTTCGAGCAAGGTTCCGGGGTCGTCTGGTACAGGACGGGTGTAAGATTCAAGGAAGATTCGGGAGGTTCCGGGGTTGGGGCGCAGGGTTCCGGAAGTTTCGGGGTGAGGCGCAGGTTAGGTGTAGGGTTCAAGGAAGGTTCCGAAGGTTCCGGCGTGGTCTGGTGCAGGCCAGGCGTAGCTGCTGGGGATACCACCTGAGCTTATTTTTTTTCGTTAGCGCTGGCGACAGGCCATGCGGCAGGGCGATGGAGAGACGCACGCCATACATACCGTGCTGGGGAGATCTGGTGCCGTAGCCGGCTTCTCCTTACAGCGGACGGAGGGGGCCGGCTGCTTCAAGCGAGCCATGAAGGAGTTGCTGCCTTATGACGCACGCTGCACAGTTCGCTTTGTCTTCTCAGACTCGCCAGATGCTGTGGAAGGAGCTGACTCAGTTCTGCCGCACCTTGAAGCTGTGGGAGAGGATGCGCTGCACTTTGTCCTGCGGGTTGAAGCATGCTCGGGCGAGAAGCGCACGGCTTTATCTAGACGGCTGCTTAGCATACAGGGCAAGTTCCGGGCACCGGCCACAGGCCGAGTTTACCATGGCAGGGAAGACGGGGTGCCGCACGGAGTCTGGCCAGAGCACGAGGAGAAGGTCGTTGAGGAGGTAGACTGGGGCACCTATATGAAGAAGCCGTTTGAGAGCCACCAGGAGTACGTGGATGCTGCGCATGGACTGACTTTGGACTTTCCTAGGGAGATGACAGGAAAGACGCCAAGGGCAGGAGCATCCGAGAGATCCTGAAGGCAGGGGTGTCATACCGGCACTACCGCTACTTGATGAATGGCAGCTACATCATGGATGCGGTAGTGCGAGTTGTCGGGCCCGAAGCCGCGAGGTTGATGAGCTGGGGCACGTGTGGGAACGAAGCGCTGCACGCGCAACTCAAGGCTTCGCAGCAGACGATCGTGCAGCAGCACCTGGAGGCCTTTCCACTACAGCTGCAGGCGTTTGGCTTGGCAAAGCTCATGGCCCACCATTGTGCCGCGTTTTGCCCGAGCATCGCACAGCGCAGCGAGGCCGAGATCCTTTGCGTGCTGCAGGGGGAGCTCTGCCGAGTTCAGGCGCACGGCCACGCAGTGCAGGAGTTGAAGAGCGTGGCTTCCCGGGCAGAGCTGCGGAAGCCCCTGCACCATGTGACCGCTGAGCTCATGGCGGCGCGCAAGCTTCGGTCCGCCGAGCAAGCGCGCCGCTGGCAGGTAGAGGCGGCGAGGAGGGAAGAGAAGAAGCGCCTCCGCGATCTATTCGGCGATTGAAGCGGACGGTCTTCACGAAGTTGAAGATGCTTAGGTGGCAATGGGTGCTGGCAGGGTTATTGTGTGTGCTTGCTTGGTGTTTTCGTTTCTGGAGGCACGTCTCCTTTGGTGGTTTTCATGTGTTGAGCCAGTTACTTGCCTTGGTCGGCCCGAGGACGTCAAAGTGGGTGAGAAGGGCTAGGCCAGCACAGTGAGTGGATGTGCGACACTGCGTGTAATTCGATGTCTGTACTGCGGCCCTGGCGCCTGCAGAGCTATAGGAGGGTGTCCAAGCGTAGGTTGCGGGTTGCCATGTATTGTTGAGGCCCGTGTGGGAGCGGTCAGTTTTATGGGGGGCGCTCTGTGGCTGTTGCCTGGCTGGAGGGGCCTAGCTTCAGACTAAGTTGGGTGCTGGGATGCCAGCGCTGTGGTATATGGCAGGACATTTTCAACATACTTAGTTTGTCGGCTTGAGAAGGGAATGCGTTAATTAATCAAGTCTGAGGGCATGTTGCCTACCAAGGCGGTTCATGGCTATTGTTGAAGAGCACAGATGCAGCGGAGGGGACGCGAAAAAGAGGCAGCTGGCATGGGGCATGCGCGCGCCTTTTGACTCATTTCTTATTTTAGGGACTCGTGGGCCATGGTTTCTTATGGGAGGAGGCTTTTGGCTCCTGAGACATTTTGTATGTTTCTAGGCTCTTAAGGCGCGCTTTGTTGCTTGAGGATGCCATTGGCGCGCTTTGTTGCTTGGCATTGGCTTTCAGAGTTTCTTGTATTTTGAAGCCATGGGCTCGTGGTAGGCCAATTCAAGGAAGATGGGCTGCCGCCTGATGCGCTGCTAGAGCGACCAGTATGTGGAACACGGGAGTCAGTGGTTGAGACCTCCTTCAGAGTCGAGCGGCCCGGTGGAGAAGGCAGCGCTGTCGTACTCATGCTACCGGACGGCTCTGCTAGGACGTGTCTGTTGAGAGGCTGCCGTGCAGATCACACTGGTCAGGCAGCCATGCCTGACTTCCACGTCGCATGAGATGCAAAGCTTCGGAGAGCGGGTAGACGCAGCTTTCAGATGGCATGGCAAAGTGCTGGACGCTGAGCGAGGACGCCGTCGGCTCCTTGTGCGCGTGTTGTTGTTTGGGGATGCCACTGGCTCCTGCGGCTTGTGTATGTTTCTAGGACGCCAGAGGCTCCTAGCGCACACTTTGCTGTTTGAGGATGCCATTGGCTCCTGAACATGTTTCGTTTGTCAGGATGCCCTTGTCTCCTACGATATCTCGTTTAATTTTTTAGATGACTGTTCACCCCTTAACGACTTTTCTTCTCTTTGAAAGTCATTGTTTGAGGATACCCTTGGCTCCTGAACATGTTTCGGTCGTCAGGATGTCCCTGACTCCAAGACGTTTTTTGTATTTTTGACAGTCATTGTTTGAGGATGCCCTTGGCTCCTGAACATGTTTCGGTCGTCAGGATGTCCCTGACTCCAAGACGTTTTTTGTATTTTTGACAGTCATTGTTTGAGGATGCCATTGGCTCCTGAACATGTTTCGGTTGTCAGGATGCCCCTGGCTCCTACGATTTTGCGTTGAATTTTTAGATGACTGTTCACCCCTAACGACTTTTTCTTCTCTTTGACAGTCATTGTTTGAGGGTGCCATTGGCTCCTGAACATGTTTCGGTTGTCAGGATGCCCCTGGCTCCTGCGATGTCTCGTTTCATTTTTAGGTGACTGTTCACCCTACCGTCTGCATAAAGAGTCCTGGCGGAGAGCTGTGGCAACCTGGTACAAGTTGAAGGAGCAGCACTCGAAGAAGGAGCTGCCGAGGGCATTTTTTTCGGATGCACTTTTGCTCGAAGGGTGGATGGAGAGCTTCTTGCTTGTCCTTTGTTGGAGGGCTTGGCAGTGGAGTCTGAGCGACTCCAGGCACGACTTTGTGAACAGAGCCCAGACTTGTTGAAGTGCGTGCAGGAGTCGGGCAAGCCACGACCGGAGGCGTCGGTGCTGGCGTGCCTCTTGTTTGAGCAGGGCCGTGAGGTTCCGAAAGAGCGTACGCGTCATTCCTGGCCGCTTTGCCTGCGTTCCCTCTGCCTTGGCCAAGGAATTTCCTGGTGATGGACGCCGCGCGAGGACGCCATCGGCTCCTTGTGCGCGTGTTGTTGTTTGAGGATGCCAGTGGCTCCTGGGGCTTTTGTATGTTTCTAGGACGCCAGAGGTTCTAGCGCGCACTTTGTTGTTTGAGGAAGCCATTGGCTCCTGCAGAACGTTTCTTTAGGGAGGATGCCGTTGGCTCCTGGGACATTTTCTCTCTGCAGAACGCCATCGGCTCCTGGTGCGCATGTTTTTGTTCGAGGATGCCATTGGCTCCTGGGGCATGTTTTCTTACGGGAGGAGGCCTTCAGCTCCTGAAGCATTTTGTATGTTTCTAGGACGCCATAGGTGCGCGTGTTGTTGTTTGAGGATGCCACTGGCTCCTGGGGTTTTTGTATGTTTCTCGAACGCCAGAGGCTCCTAGCGCACACTTTGACATCCCCAATGCTGCGGTGCACTTCGCCGCAGCTCGCAGAGTTGCACGGGCTGGAGATGCCGTGCTTCGAACTATACCGTCTGCACAAAGAGTCTTGGCGGAGAGCTGTGGCAACCTGGCACAAGTTGAAGGAGCAGGACTCGAAGAAGGAGCTGCTGATCGGATGCACTTATGCTCGAAGGGTGGATGGAGAGCATGCCTGTGTTGTAGGACGCTATCGGCTCCTGAAGCATGTTTCGTTGGGCAGGACGCCCTCGACTCCTGGACGGCCCAGTTCAGTTTTCGAGGGCCGTCCACCCCTAAGATTGTTCACCCCTAAGGCGTTTTTTCTCTTCGGCCGTCATTGTTCGAGGATGCCATTGGCTCCTGAAACATGTTTCGTTTGGCAGGATGCTCTCGGCTCCAAGACGTTTTTTTATTTTTGACAGTCATTGTTCGAGGATGCCATTGGCTCCTGAATATGTTTCGGTTGTCAGGATGTCCCTGGCTCCAAGACCATTTTTTTTTGACGGTCATTGTTGGAGGATGCTATTGGCTCCTGAACATGTTTCGGTTGTCAGGATGCCCCTGGCTCCTGCGATATCTCGTTTCCCCAACGACTTTTTCTTCTCTTTGACAGTCATTGTTTGAGGATTCGTTTGGCAGGCTCCAAGACGTTTTTTTGTCTTTGACAGTCATTGTTTGAGGATGCCATTGGCTGCTGAACATGTTTCGTTTGTCAGGATGCCCTTGGCTCCTACGATATTGCGTTTAATTTTTAGATGACTGTTGACCCCTAACGACTTTTTCTTCTCTTTGACAGTCATTGTTTGAGGATGCCATTGGCTCCTGAACATGTTTCGGTTGTTAGGATGCCCCTGGCTCCTGCGATGTCTCGTTTCATTTTTTAGGTGGCTGTTCACCCTACCGTCTGCATAAAGAGTCCTGGCGGAGAGCTGTGGCAACCTGGTACAAGTTGAAGGAGCAGCGCTCGAAGAAGGAGCTGCTGAGGGCATTTTTTTGGATGCACTTACGTTCGTAGGGTGGATGGAGAGTTCTTGCTTGTCCTGTGTTGGAGGGCTTGGCAGTGGAGTCTCAGCGACTCCAGGCATGACTTTGTGAACAGCACCCAGACTTGTTGAATTGCATGCAGGAGTCGGGCAAGCCACGACCGGAGGCGTCGGTGCTGGCATACATCTTGTTTGAGATGGAGAATGTTTGAGGATGCCTGTGTTGTAGGACGCTATCGGCTCCTGAAGCATGTTTCGTTGGGCAGGACGCCCTCGACTCCTGGACGGCCCAGTTCAGTTTTCGAGGGCCGTCCACGCCTAAGATTGTTCACCCCTAAGGCGTTTTTTCTCTTCGGCCGTCATTGTTTGAGGATGCCATTGGCTCCTGAAACATGTTTCGTTTGGCAGGATGCCCTCGGCTCCAAGACGTTTTTTTTTATTTTTGACAGTCATTGTTCGAGGATGCCATTGGCTCCTGAATATGTTTCGGTTGTCAGGATGTCCCTGGCTCCAAGACCTTTTTTTTTTGACGGTCATTGTTTGAGGATGCTATTGGCTCCTGAACATGTTTCGGTTGTCAGGATGCCCCTGGCTCCTGCGATATCTCGTTTCCCCAACGACTTTTTCTTCTCTTTGACAGTCATTGTTTGAGGATTCGTTTGGCAGGCTCCAAGACGTTTTTTTTGTCTTTGACAGTCATTTTTTGAGGATGCCATTGGCTCCTGAACATGTTTCGTTTGTCAGGATGCCCTTGGCTCCTACGATATTGCGTTTAATTTTTAGATGACTGTTGACCCCTAACGACTTTTTCTTCTCTTTGACAGTCATTGTTTGAGGATGCCATTGGCTCCTGAACATGTTTCGGTTGTTAGGATGCCCCTGGCTCCTGCGATGTCTCGTTTCATTTTTTAGGTGACTGTTCACCCTACCGTCTGCATAAAGAGTCCTGGCGGAGAGCTGTGGCAACCTGGTACAAGTTGAAGGAGCAGCGCTCGAAGAAGGAGCTGCTGAGGGCATTTTTTTGGATGCACTTACATTCGTAGGGTGGATGGAGAGTTCTTGCTTGTCCTTTGTTCCTTTGTTGGATGGCTTGGCAGTGGAGTCTCAGCGACTCCAGGCATGACTTTGTGAACAGCACCCAGACTTGTTGAAGTGCATGCAGGAGTCGGGCAAGCATGTTGGCAGGATGCCCTCGGCTCCTGTGATGAGATGGCTGTTCATCCCTAACGGCTTTTCTTCTCTTCGACACTCATTGTTTTAGGATGCCATCGGCCTATGAAGCATTTTGCGCGCCTTTGGCTCCCTCGGCACGTTCCACATCGTGTGGAACGCGACTGCTTTCTGGCTTGTCCACATGAAAAGCGTTATTTTTCCTCGGCTGTCATGGTTAGAGGATGCCATTGGCTCCTGAGGCAGTTTTTTTTTGGGAGGATGCCTTCGGCTCCTGAGACTTGTTACGTTCCAGACTTTGCAGCAGTTCGTCCAAATGCTCCCCAAGTACAAGTTTGCA